GAGGGGCTGAATTTTAAGTCATTAGACTGTACTTGGATGAGGGGCATCTCTTCAAAATTCCAGCTTCCTAACTTTTCAGTTTCCTGATTTAGCAAATTACCTGCAAAAAGCTTTCATGGGTGCGTATTTAGGAACCACGCATGCCCGGAGACTGTGTTTGAACTCTTCAAGACCTACGTGGACGAGGGACGTTCCACTAAAATTACAGGCTTCTAGCTTTTTAGGTTCCCACATTAGCAACTTACCCGCAAATAACTTTCAGGGGCTCGTAGGTGGAAACCACGTGAGTAAAAGTGCTCATTATGCGTTTTTGCTTATATGCAAATGCAAAAACCATATTATGACAACCCCGGTGTGTGTGTGAGTGTGTGTGTGTGTGTGTGTGTGTGTGCGCGTCCGTCCGGATATTTCAACCTGGCCGTCAGGCAAGCTCCGGCGCCAAAATTTTGCCGGTGGGTCCCCCGGCTAAGTGCCACCCCAGCGCTGCGATACCAAATCTCACGCGAGTCTGGGCCTCGCGTACGCGAGGGTGAAAATTTTGGCGGGGTTATGTCCCCCGTCCATATGAAATCCTTAAAGATTTCAAATTCAGCTTCCAGGTGTGCGTGGCTCCCGCGTACGCCCCGTAAGGGTTCTTGGCGCGAAAATCGCTAACTCAGGAACCAGGAAAGCTGGAGGGCTGAAATTTTTAGGGAATGTTCCCAGCACAAGTGTAACTTAAAATAATCAAACTCAGCCCCTCAGTATCTGTGGTACTCAAGTACGGTCTCTTGAAAGTTTTTGGCGGGAAAACGGCTAATTCGGGAACCAGGAAAGCCGAAATTTTCAGAGAATGTTCCCAGCCCACGTACGACTTAAATTTATCAAACTCAGCCTCCGGGCTTGCGTGAGTGCCACGTACGGCCCTGTGAAAATTTTTGGCAGGAAAATTGCTTACTCAAAAACCAGAAAATTTGGAAAGCTGAAATTTCAACAAAATATTCCTTGTCCAAATGCAGCGTAGACAGTTAATTTCCCTGACTTCGTGGATCAGTATGCCACACATTTCTAGCCACTGGGTTTCCGAGCGATCTCATTACAGCACGAAATATTGCAAAAACGCATGATCGCACGGGTCCGCCCGGTGAGCGTCGCTAATGATTTTGAGGATGGGGCTCGTATGTGCATGCACATCAAGTTCCCAAAGTTTCAGCCTTGTAGCTTTTGTAGGTCTCGAAATGAAAAATCGGTATAGACGGACACACAGATATACATACAGACAGCCCCTCGACAATATGTGTTTTTGCATTGCATAGATGCAAGAAACGCATTAAAAGATGAAATAAATATGTATAGGAAAATGTATTACATTTCCAAGAAGAGCGAAAGAGGACAAATTCAAAGAATAATCAGGAAGGGGGAGCAACAGGAACTAACTGCAAGTCAAGTGTGAAGTCAATTGGAAGCTCTCAATTATTAGTGCTGAGTTAGCTTTTATAAATAAATTTTGAATTTAAATATATGTAAACACGATGAAAATTTTATATGCCATTAGAGCTCTTAGCACATCGGCTCTCGTGGTCGCACTGAAATCCCGTGCGCCACTCACTCACATTGTGTGTGTATGTTTTTGTGTGTATATGTCTGTGTCTGCGTCCGTACAGAGATATCCAAAATATCCTTTCGTCCAGCCTCTCCATCCCAGCCAATTTGCACGAGTTGGAAATACTCATCGAAAAGTGCAGAACGGACTCCGCTAACTTCATGGAGAAGTGGCTAAGCCAGTAAGCAAAAATCAAAATAGGAGTGCTCAGGAGGATGCTAAAGGGCAGGGCTTTTCATTAGCATCCCCGATCCTGCATCACTGAAGGTTTCACTAGCACTCAGAATAGTGTATACAAATGTTCTTCCTGCAAATGCCTTTCTCAGTCAGTTTTCCATTTTCCCAAGCAGCACTAAAGCTTTAGAATTCTGCTTTTCTTTTTTAATTTTCGTATTTTGTCCAGTGGAAGAAAGTTCCGTAAGTACAGTTCAGTCAGACTTAATTCATTGGCGACGTGTACCAGGCAGGCCCGTGCAATCATGCGTTTTTGCAGTATTTCGTGCTATTGTAAGATCGCTTGGAGCCCTAGTAGCTAGGATTTATGGTGTACTGGTTCTCAAAGTCTAGGAAATTAATTGTGCAACTACATGGTACTTGGTCAAGGAAATTCCCCTCAAAATTTCAGTTTCCTGTCACTTAGCAATTTTCTCGCCAAAAATTTTCGCGAGACCGTGTGTTAGAAATACACATACTTGGGGGCTGAATTTAAAATATTTAAGTTGTAAATATGCTAGAAATATTCCCCTAAAATTTCAGCCTCCCAGGTTCCCGAGTAAGCGGTTTTCCCGCTAAAACTTTCACGTGTTCGTACGCAGGGCCTAGACGTATGTGAGGGTTGATATCGCGGTCCTGGGTATCAACCCTCACACACATCTAGGCCCTGCGTACGCATGCGTGAAAGTTTTAGCGGGAAAATCGCTTACTGGCAAAAATTTCTTTTGGCATCGGAGCTTGTCTGGTCGCCGAGTTGAAATACCCGGACAGACACAGGCACACACACCGAGGTCGTCACAATATGCGTTTTTGCATTTGCATATGTGCAAAAATGTATAAAAAATGACAAAGAATCAAAGCAAAGCAATTTCCCAAACACTGAAATTTCCAAAGTCAAAATTTTTGTGCAGACACAGACTGGGAAATATTTTGTTTGATATTTCGATTAGCTATTGCTTCTTCACCGCGTTCCTTCTCTCTACTAGTACAACTGAGAACTCCATTCTTCTCAATTTTGATCTTCCCTTATCTACATGGTCTCGCGTCGACATTCAAGAGCAATTTTCCATCGCACTGGCAGCTTTCCCTGCAGCGTAGGGCACCCAGTTTATTAACCGAAAGTTAGCGAATCAAGGGCCAATTCAAAAGTGTGTCTGCGGAGTTTACCGTGGAAGCGGGAATGACATGCGCTGAAGTAATTTTTCGTACAAAGCCATTTTCTTTTGTATGTTCGGAGATTGCTGGCTCTGTGATAACCTGCTTGACATGGTTCAAGATGTAGGCCAATGTCCTCTTTCAGATGAATTCAGGGCGCGTGAAGCTGAATGTTGGCGGAACTATGTTCGAGACGTCCATCCTGACGCTAACCCGACTCGAAGGGACAGTACTGCAAACAATGCTGGAGGAGAGGTGGAATGGACCCGCGTGCTCACACAACCAGGAGATATTCATCGACCGCGATTCCACACACTTTCGCACCATTTTGAATTTCCTGCGCGATGGATTTTTTGTTCCGCCGAACTCTGAGCGAGAATTAGCTGAAATCGAGCGCGAAGCCGAGGTCTTACCTTTCAAGTGTTTTTAGGCGTACTGCCAGGCAGCGCTGCAACAGGTGGCAAAAACGCACATTGCAACGACCGTGTGTGCCTGTGTGTGTGTCTGTCTGTGTCTGTGTTCGTCTCTCCGGGTACTCCAACTCAGCAACCAAACAAGCTCTGGCGCCAAAATTTTGCCAGTTGGTTCCGCAGCCAAGTGCCAACCCAGGACCGCGGTACCAACTTTCTCGCACGTCTGGTCCCCACGTGCAAGCACTTAAAAGTTTTGACGGGAGAACTGCTAACTTATGAATGAGAAAAGCTGGAAGACTGAAACTTTAGGGGAATGTTCCCTGCCTACGCACGACCAAAGATTTCAAATTCAGCTCTTTAGGACTACCGGGAATCGCGTACAGCACGTGAAAATTTTGACGGGAAAATTGCTAGCTCGGGAACGAGAGAGGCTAGACGGCTAAAAAATTAGAGGAATGTCCCCTACTCATGTGCGACTAAAAGATTTCAAATTCTACTCTTCTATTGGGAACTTTTTCGTGGATTCTGGAGTTCGTCTCGTCTTTTGAACGGATCCCTGTCTCAAAAGTCCCCTAAAATTTTGCACTTCTAGGACTGCTTGTCTCTTTTAGCTAAGCCTCCTAGTAAGTACGTTTGTCCTTCTAACTGAATTAGGGAAGTATTAGAATCACTCCCTTTCTGCTGTCTCTCCCTCCCCTTTTTTCTCCCATTTCCACTTCCAGTAAAGAAACGGGGATGAGGAAGTGGCGCTGTTTTCATCCGGACCACTGAGATGAGCCACTGAAAACTTTTGAAATTTTGAGATTTTCCTA